ATTATATTCCATGTAATATTAGGAGATAAAAACATGCGGAATAGAACGCGCGGAAAGAAGGAAAATTTAATAAAGTTTAGTTAATTTTGTCTTCCGCGTTTCAGCATTTTTGTATTTCCACGCTCCATGTAATCGCAACTTTATATTTTTGCAAATCAATAACAAGTGACGATATATCGAATACTTTATTAAAAAGAACTGTAATGAGTTATTTTTATGAAGTAATGTTGCCAACTCTATATTTATATAAATATATAATATAAATAAACATGTATGTTTGTATTGCCTCAGTTGTTCTCAAAATTTTGACGTGGTTAGTTGTCAGTAAACAATTTGAAATTTAATTGTAATGATTATTACGTGATTATTACGTCTAAGTTGTAAGCATTGCATTGTAAGTTATTAAATTATCAAAATTTCAGTTTTTTAATCTAACATGAGGCATCCTTCTAATTTTACAAATTTCTTTTTTTAAGATTTTATTTGCCTTTGACATTATTCCGTATTTTCCTTTTTATTTTTTGTGACAGTTATCATTTTATTATATTTTTATTGCCTGGAATCTGTTCTCGTCATCGAACGTAAAATGAACTTTGGCTATTGTTCATTGCTCGCTGAATTCTCTCTAATTTCTTTCTATCAGATTTTATATGACAAGCAATTACGAGTTTACTCTTAATATTTCTTAATTCGTACATATTAGTCATATATACAAAATATAGCTTTCAACCTTGATAACAGTTTCTTATTTACATGTTCCTATTCGTATTCTCTGTTAATTTGAATTATTTTAACGTCTCACGTTTTCAATCTAACATTTTATTTAATATGTCAATTAGTAATAAGACTCATTTAAAATTTAAAAAACAAAAAAAAAGGCTACCGAAAATTATTTTATAAAATTAAACATCGTTAATATAGAAGTTTAAATAAAAGTTTACATAAATAAAAGAAACAATTATATCTTTTAATTTAATACAATATGCTAGCAATAAACAAATATTTCGATCGTGATCAGATCATTATCAATGTTAAAAACACATAATATTACAAACACATAATATTACAGTAAAAACAAAACATAAATACTTCGCTCTCTCTAATAAATACTGGTAACACAAAAATAACTATCATCCTATTCACAGTTATTTTATTTAATATTTTATTTATGTAAATTAGAAAAAAATATATAAAAACATTCATGATATGTAGAAAAAAACGTTCATTTCAAAATTATATATCCAGTATCACTATCAATAAAATACATAATTTAGCAGTAAAATGAATTGAAAGATGATGGCTAATTTTGACAAATCCAACTTATGTTATTAAAAAATTGTCTTACGATTTTAAGTAGATAAACTTGAAAATACATAATCGAAAAAATAAACCGTAAGAAATATGAAAAAAATTTAAGGAACGTTACAATAAATTCAATTGAGAGATATACCTAAAGAGTTTGAATCCTATCTGAAATAAGGGAATTCTCTAGTAATCTCAAGTTTCACAATATTTGAATCAACAGTTGAAAATAAAGATACAAAAAAATATGTATCTCAACAGTGCGGTAAGATTTATGTAGCGGTAAGATTGTGTATGATTAATATTTTTAAAGTTTTGGATATTTTTGTATTATTTCAACCGTTATGTTATGATTTTCATTGTTTGTTTTTTAACAATCATTTTCTTCATAAGCTTTGAAACGACATAATAGTGAGGTACATACTGAAGATAAACTATTTTCCAGATTAAAGAAAATTCAGCTGTTCGTCAGTTTCACCATATAAAAGGAATCGTATGACGAGAATCGAGAATACAGAATGGAGAGAGACGATGGCCCTTCAGCCAGTAATAAATCTACCGTTATTAAAGCAGGGCAAGAAACAATGGAACGATTAGATGTACTGGTATGTGGACAGTGTCATTCTCTCTTTCATTTTATCGAAGAGTTTCAAGAACATCGTTCAAAAGAGGGAGCCTGCTCCAAAACATCATGTATTCATGACACCATAGACGATAATAGACAAAAAGCACAAGAATGGGCGTTTCTATTATGGAAGGGTATACAAATTCAAGATAGTTCAGACATAGAAGCATCTAATACTTCGACATTGCACGAGAAATGGTGTAAGATGGATACTAAAATGAAGGAGGCTTGGGTCATATCGGGAAAAATTGTACAAACCTTGACAAAAATTAATAATGCAAAGATGCAGGATACGCTGATGCAATCAAATACCAACGTTGAAAGTGCCAAACCGATAATAGTTCGTAAAGTTGTCAGAAATGAACAACCGGAAGAGACAGGCGAAGCTAAAAAGGATTCTGCGACATCACTGGAAACAAAAAAGAATGAATCTATGGAAATTGAAGTAGACAAGAAGGAAAAATCAAGACTGAAATCATCGATCAAGCCCAAAACCAAATCTGACAAAGCAACTACCGAAGAAGATGCAGACCAAAGTAACGAAGAATATATTATCGATAAGATATTAGCCAAACGTTTTAATACTGAAAAGAGATGCTGGGAATACTTAATCGAATGGAAAAGCTCTCCACAGGAAGAACCAAGACTGAAATCATCTATCAAGCCTAAAATCAAGTCTAGCAAAGCAACTACTGAAGAAGATACAGACCAAAGTAACGAAGAATATATTATCGATAAAATATTAGCCAAACGTTTTAATACTGAAAAGAGATGCTCGGAATACTTAATCAAATGGGAAGGCTATCCAGATGAAAAAAATACATGGGAATCTGCAGAGTTTGTAGCAACATACAAAAGTTTATTGGATGAATTTGAGCGGAGTCATGCCAAGCAAAAGGAGTCTAAAGAAGCGCAACAGAAGGATAATACAAAAGTCGAACGTGTGAGTTTGCCGTTACAAAAATCAGTGATAAAAACTGAGACTAGTCAGCCTGGACCAAGTACTGCTCAAACAGGACGCTCAATGCGGTCTAATAAATCAAAAGCGATGGATCAGCCTGGACCAAGTACTACTCAAATAGAACGCTCAATGCGGTCTAATAAATCAAAAGCGATGGATCAAATCAAGCAATGGTGTGACTTAATGAAAGATAAAGAGAATAAACTATTAAATAAAAGAAGGATCGATGATTCGAAAAGTGATTCGGAAAAAGGAGGAAGCAGTACCTCAAAGGAAACGACAGATGACGCGAGCAGTGATGATGAATGGACTGGGGAAGACGAAAGACCATTGAGCCAACGTATTCAACGTTCATTCAATCGCACTGATGCGCAGTCGAGTAGATTCGACAAAACCTCGATTTCATCCACTGAACTGACAACGTCATTAGAATTGCAATCTGCAGATGAAGCAAAATCTAGCCAACCACCTGTTTTAGTGGCTAACACCGAGGAGGTTGTTAATGTCGATCCCAAACAAATGCCAAATTTGGCTTCCGATCTCAACGTTACATCGCGAAAAGACAGTATCATTAAATTGAATTCCCCCATTGGGAAACTAGCTGTTAAAGGATCTTCGATGACGCAAGGTGTTGCAATGGTTCAAAATCAAGCTAATATAAATATAATCAACTACAAGTGTGGAAAGTGTAGTAAAATATTTATTTGTGAATTGCATTTGCACAAGCATGAAAAAATTCATAAGGAAGAATCTTATCAATGCGAGTTTTGTGGAAAAGTATTTGCGTGAGTAATAAAAATTATAGGAATATTAAATTATCTTTTTACTTAAATTAATGGTTAACAATAATAAATATTTTGCAGTGAGTTATCGAATGTATATAGACACAAGAGAGAAATCCATTTCAACGTACATAAGGATTGTGACGATTGTAAGAAGGGTTTCGATAATGAACAGGATTTGAATAATCATTTAGTTACGAAGCATTCTGACATCGAAAGACCATATAAATGTGATACATGTTCAGCTACATTTAAACGTTTGAATACCCTTAAACAGCATATAAACATACATGCAAGCGAGAAACCATATGTTTGCAAGGTATGTACTACAAAATTATTGTTAGTATTTTTTCTAATTATTTCTCAATTGATTGTGTTTATTTTTACGTTTCTATAATTATAAATGTGCTGTATTTTAGATTTGCGACAAAGCGTTTACTTTTAAAACTAACCTAACCACACACATGTATTTACATAGCGATAAAAAGCCGCATGAATGTTCGATATGTAACAAGGGTTTCATGCGAAAAAATAAACTTCTTATACACATGCAAAAGGAGGTTATTCATGATAACGTTTAATTCATTAACAGATTCACATTTATCTTTCTATTTTTGTTATATATTCATAATCATATTATAATAGATTATTATAATATATCACAATACATTTAATATATAAAAAAATATTTTTTAGGGTCACATGAGTGATACCATAGTAAAGGACTAACCGCGACTGACAACAGAATAGCCGAGTATAATTATAACTACTCAATAATAATGACGAACCGATGAAAGAAATTGAGGATAAAGATATAATTTTTATACGAGATACAATATATGCATAGATGGGAGTTTTCTTATAAATATAATTTTTATACGAGATACAATTGAACACTGTCAAGATCACCGACGTGTAATGATCACAATGTGTTCAGGAGACAGAATCGATCAGTAAATTAATTTTTTAATTATTTACTTTAATTATTTACGTTTTTATTGGAGATAGTATACTCGCGAATTAAAAACTGAATTTCTTGAAATAGATATACGTTGTATTGTACTAGAAGACGTTGATATGTTTGTGTAATTGGAATGGAGATTGAGATTTCAGTACTGAGATGTAAGCAATTGAAGATCGCTCTTCTTAACATGCTTATACAAAGTTGCCTATACAAAGTTAATGAAAATGTAAAATTTATTCTTGTAGATCCTAAACTAGCAGTGATATGTTAATAAAACATGATCATGCAATGAAAGAACATTAAATGTATATTATGAAAAAAATATCGTAATTTTTTACCATTTAGTTTGGAAAAATAGATTCGTGAAAAGAATTTTCGTAAACATTTGTCAATCTGAAATGTGAATCAAAGAAAAAAAGCAATAAGCTATGTTAATCTATCTATGTTCATTTTTTTTCCATGTGATCATGGACAGGTACAACTAAGTTTTCTTTCATTGCACAGTGGAGTCGATTGTCGAAAAAGTGGCCAAAAATCAAAGAGATATTATATTGTTACAAAGAAGTTATATTTATGAGCTCTTCGAGCCACTGATATCAGAATTAATATTTCAGAATGGCGGATATCCGGTATAACTGATTTAAACTTTAAAATATTCTAAAATATAGTGAGAGTTCGTTTTTAAATTTCTTTTTAAGTTGCTGATTTTGATTTTGATAAAAAATAATTAATTTAAAATGGCGAATCGTTGTACGGCTAATTTTACTTTTAAAATAATGTCTAAAATACATGTTTGTTTCTGGGGTTTCTTTGGATAGCTGCTCAAGATGATTTTAATATCAGAATTAGAAAATTCAAGATGCTTGTTTGACAGGTGCATATATATAGTATATATAT